AGATTTCAGAAAATTAAACTGATTCCTTTTAGTGCAGAGATATCCTTGTATGAGTAGCTTTGTGCACCACTCAGCAGAAGATTTGATTCCTTGGCTTTGAATAATTTACGTGCTGTCAGAAGAAAGTTATTCCCTTACAGCTACATATCTGGCTATTCCATTAGCAACTTTCTGTGCCATTGTTTTGAGATGTGAAGGCTGAAATATCCAAAAGTATTGGACTGCAAATATATGACTAGATAAATGAAGGCCTCCTTCTGTTTAGTTTAAATATTCTTAATTTTCCAGGTTAAATATTCTTAATTGTCTATACCTACAAAAGTCAGAACACAGGTAGTCCTCAACTTACAACCACAAGTGAGCCGAAAATTTATGTTGCTAAGTGAGACAGTTCTTACATGAGTTTTCCCCCATTTTACAACCTTTCTTGGCACAGTTGTTAAGTGAAATCACTGCAGTTCAGTTACGGTTGTTAATGAGAATCCATCTTCCCAAATGACTTTGCGTGTTGGAAGGTTGCAAAAATTGATCACATGGCACTGGGACATTGTCGTAAATATGAGTCAGTTGTCCAAGCATACGAATGGACATCATCACATGTCCATGGAGATGCTGCCATGGCCCTATGTGTGGGAAATGGTCCTAAGTAATTTTTTCCCCAATACCATTCTAATTTTGAACGGTTACTAAAGGAATTGTTGAAATTTCGGGTCTATTGTACCTACCTTTTTTTTCAGGAAGCAACTGGACATTTTGCTTCTCATCCAAGAAGCTTCTTCAGCTCTGACAGGATAGTGGGGAATGGAAGGATTTATATTCCTTGCAGACAGCTGGTCATTTGCATTCTTTTACAGGGTCATTTCAAGGCCCCTTGAAGGTTGACTCAGCCTTCCATCCTTTTGAGGTAGGTAAAATGAGGACCCGGATTGTGGGGGCAATAAGCTGACTTTGTATAAAAAAGAACACCGCTTGGGGGGGGGGGGCGAAAGCCCTACTAAGCAGGTATATACAAAAGTATGAAGGCTATTGCTTAACACATTGTAAGCCGCCCTGAGTCTCCGGAGAAGGGCGGTATATAAATTGAAACAATAAATAAATAAATAAATTTACCCTGAGGACACAGATAAACCTCCAAGTGCTTCAACGACTCTCTAAAAAGGATGCAAATGACCAGCTATCCACAAGGAATATAAATCCTTCCATCAAGCTGAAGAAGCTTTTTTTTTTTTTTTTTTTTTTTAAATTTGATTTATATGCCGCCCTTCTCCGGAGACTCAGGGCGGCTTACAGTGCGTTAAGCAACAGCCTTCATCCTTTTGTATATTTTTATACAAAGTCAGCTTATTGCCCCCACAAACTGGGTCCTCATTTTACCTACCTTAGAAAGGATGGAAGGCTGAGTCAAACTTGAGCCTGGTGAGATTTGATCTTACTTTAATTGCAGACAGCTGGTGTTAAATTACAGTGCTTCTGTCTGTTGAGCTAAGCCAATGAGATGAGAAGCAAAACATCTTCAAAAGAAAAATAAAACAAGACAGTCCAGTTGCCTCCTGAAAAAGCATCTTTGGGACCACCATGACTTGGGTGACTGAGAATCTCTACAGACCTTCAGCGCTACCCCTAAAACAATTCATGGTTTTGCCTATGACACTCAATTTAAGCGAAAGATGGACTTTGAAGAAGTAGATTGATTCCTTTGAACTTTGGGGCTGGAGAAGACACCTGAGCTGTGTTTCTCAGTCTCTACAACTTTAAGATGTGTGGACTTCAACTCCCAGAATTCCCCAGGCAGATGTGCTTACCACCATTGCAACATCCCCATGGTCGTTCCATCAAAAGTTGGACAGTTGGCATCTGGCACGTATTTAAGACGACGGCAGCCTCCCAGGTTGTGATTTGCAACCTTCCCAGCCGACCTCTGACAGCCAAAGTCAATGGGGGAATCCAGATGTGCTTAACAACTGCACAATTCACTGAACAATATGGCAGAAAAGGTTGCAAAATTGGATGCAGCTCATTTAACAACTGCCTTGTTGTTTACCGATGGTAATTCGGGACGAACTGTGTTTGTAAGTCAAGGATTCTCTGCACTTTTGCTTGCATTTAATTCGTAATGTGGTAAAATGGAGTAATTAAATGGGTGGGGGAAATTAAGAAGAGCAAGAAAGACAAAGGGAGTCAACTCTGCGTGATGCAATCTTCACATCACAGAAGAGTTGAGTTTGGGAGCGCCAGCATGTCGCTTATCTCAAGGATTTCAATTCGATTCAGAATAGAGCTGGAAGAGACCTTGGAGGTCTTCTAGTCCAACCATCTGCTGAAGCAGGAGATCCTATACCATTTCAGACAAGTCCAGTCTCTTCTTAAAAGCCTCCAGTGATGGAGCACCCATAACTTCTGGAGGCAAGCTGTTCCACTGGTTAATTGATCTCACTGTTAGGAAGTTTCTCCTTAATTCCAGGTTGCTTCTCTCCTTGATTGGTTTCCATCCGTAGCTTCTTGTCTTGCCTTCTGGTGCTTTGGAAAATAAGTTCTTTGTGGCAGCCCCTCGAATACTGGAATACTGTAGTTTGGCTGTAGGATGAGCGTGGAGCGTTCTTCATTTGTGGTTTGGTTTTGTGTGGGCTTCGTGTAGTCAGTAGGTCTTGTGATGGGAGGGTCATCTCAGGTGAGGGGTCTTGTGAGGGGTCAGGTGTGGGTCACATCAGACCTTTACCTGACGTGACCCACACCTGACCCATCACAAGATCCATCACTTGACATGGCCTTCTCATCACAAGACCTGCTGACCACACGAAGCCCTTATAACACCAATACTGACATCCCCTAAACTCCACTGAAGATGTTACCTAGCCAGGTAACGAAATGTTCGGAAACCAACCCACAAGCTCGGAGAACAAGCCTCCATCCTCACACTGGAATAATGCTATCATGGTGACCCCTTATTCTTTCTTTTCATCTATCATCCTTCTTTTGCTCTCCCTTTCCCACCATTCATCTGCTAGCTGAACATTCTGGGATTTATCGGGAAAAACCCTATTTTCAAAGCAGTCACCCCCATCCAGCTGTGAAGCATCACAACCTCTGGGCCAGGCAGATGCTACCTCATTTGCAAACAGCTTTCTCTAATATTTTGTCCACAAGCTGATTTGCAAATGATTCGTACAAGGAAAGGAGATAAAAGGGAATTGGATCTGATATTTCATTCCCAAGGGATTTCCCCCCCCCCTGCTTCTTTGAGTTTTCTTTCTTATTCCTCCTCTAACTGGCCTGCCAAATTTTACTAACATGCCAATTAAATATTCTCAGTCCATGGAAGCAGTGACCTATGCTCGCAGCCAATCTCCCAGACAGCCGGTTTTAATATATAGCCAAATTAAAAAAGAAAAGAAAAGAAAAGAAAAGAAACAGGAAAACAGTGCAAAGACAGATGGATTGCTCTACACCTTTTAACAGGGTTATTTGAGATCAGCTAACAGGCAGGGAGAGGCATTCTGCTCAAATATTCTTCCTTGAGAAAAATATCTCACAGAATCGGTTTGAAAAGTCATCTAATTTTTCTTGTGCTTCTTTGCCGGCTCTTTGTTTAAGACCGGGCATCACTTGATTTCAATCAATCGTGCTAATTAAAGATCCTCAATCCAGACCTCGATAGGTCACAAGGAAATGCTAATCTTCTTTCAAAAGCGGAGAAAAAAGGCTTTGTGATTTGATTTAACTTAGAAAACCCAGACTATAAAAAAGGTGGCATGATAACAGAGCATTTGCAATAAAAATGAAGCATAAGCAAGGAAAAGATAGGGTAGTGGGGAAAGAAACCTCAATCAGCATATTGCACGAAGAAGGAAGCTTGAAGAAACTTTGGGAGACAAAGAGACATTGGAATTTTTTGGGTCAGGAGGGGAAAAGCAAAAAAATAAATAAAAAGCCAATGCAAACTTGAGCTGCATTAAGACAGAGATATAATCAAGATGATGTGAAGTATTAATACCATTTCAATGCCTTGGTAAGACCACACTTGGAATATTGCATCCAGTTTTTGTTGCCATGTTATAAAAGAGATGTAGATTCTAGAAAGAGTACAGAGAAGAGCAACAAAGAGGATTAGGGGACTGGAGGCTAAAACATATGAAGAACAGCTGCAGGAACTGGGTATGGCTACTCTAAAGAAAAGAAGGACGAGGGATGACATGAGAGCAGTCTTCCAATATCTAAGGGGATGCCACAAAGAAGAGAAGGTCCATCTATTCTCCAAACCACCTGAAGGCAGGAGAAGAAGCAATGGATGGAAACTAGTCAAGGAGAGAAACAACCTAGAACTAAGGAGGAATTTCCTGACAGGGAGAACAATTAACTTGCTTTCAGGAGTTGTGGGTGCTCCATCACTGAAGATTTTTAAGAAGAGATTGGAGAGACATCTGTCTGGAATGGGTTTCCTGCTTGAGCAGGGGGTTGGACTAGAAGACCTCCAAGGTCCCTTCCAACTGTTATTCTGTTAAAATTATTTCTATATATTTATTTAATTTATATGTCACAGATCTCCCCGATAAGGTGACTCCAGGAGGCTCACAAACTGTAGAAAGGTAAATAGAAAACAATGAAAATGTATTTCCGTGTGTTTCCCATTTCCAAAGGACAGGACAAGTTGCTCCTTAAATCACACCAACATATGGAAGCTTCCATTTCCTATTTACTCACTGGCTTGAGGGAGAGATGGTTGCTTTATAAAGATGAAGCCCAGAGATCAGTTGAGAAGGTCTCAGTGATTACCAAAACTTCTGTAGAAAATGGACTTCAGCTCTCAGAAATCCCCCAGCTAACCTGCGTGGACTTCAACTCCCAGAATTCCCAGTCAGCATGCCCATCTTCAAATGGCCAAGGTTGAGAAAAACTGAGTTCCCTGCCACTCAGTAAATCAAATAATCTTACTTTCAAGTAAGAACTTGAGATGGGGTAAATTCTGCCTAGCTTCATAAAAAATCTCAGAGTAAAGATCTTACCAGCAGAACAAGAATCACTGGTCCTTGATAGATGTAATCTATATATTTCCCCGGTTCTTTTCCAAACCAGCATCTGCAAATAGATACCATGTATTAAGGTAATGCAGGGGGAATGAAAAACAGCGAAGGGGAAAAACAAATTGATGAAAGAAGAGTGGAAGAGAGGAGACGGAGGGAAATCTTGAGAAGGTTGTGGTTGGATAGAGTTGATGAAATGGTGAAAAAGAGAAAAATATAGGAAGCAGTGAATAAGCACCGCGATAGCACAGAAAGGAGCACAGGGGAAACATATTGAATGCTGTAATTTAAATTCTATTTAGTTCATTTATCTTCTCTCCCCTTTTATTCCCTGCTTCAAATTTATTTGACTTGCTATTTCTTTCTTCTTTTATTATCCTCTGCATTAAAGCTGCATGTTCACCCTAAAAAGAAAGAGCACGATGGATACATACATTTATTTATTTTATTCTCTTTTCGTAGGTCTTTATGTGTATTTTTCTCTCAGCCAAGTTTTTCCTACGTAAATCAAGATCTTTATACAGCCATAATTCAGTGAAATCTCATTCACTAGTTTCTAGGCTTTATCAGACATCGAATCAGCTTTTTACTGTCTGTTGTGAGACTTAAGGGAGACTAAGATAGATCTATTTCTGACTAGTTTATACATTTATACATTTATATAGATAGATAGATAGATAGATAGATAGATAGATAGATAGATAGATATAGATAGATAGATAGATAGATAGATAGATAGATAGATAGATAGATATAGATAGATAGATAGATAGATGGATAGTCCTTAACTTATGACCGTAATTGAATGTGGAATTACAATGTAAGTCAAACTGGCTATTAAACAGGTCATCCCGTGACTGACCCAATTGTACAACATTTTTTGTGTTGGTCGTCAAACTAAAACGAAGATTGTTAAGTGAACCCATTTTCCGCAGTAAATGGCTTTTCTGGCAAAATCACAAATCATATTCATGTGACCGCAGAACTCTGCAAATGGCGGTAAATGTGGGCTAGTTCCTGAGTGCCCAAAATGTCAAGGACTACCTTTATGGATGTATGAACTAGTACAGCCAGTCCTCGACTTACAACCATTCATTTAGCGACCAAAGTTACAACGGCATTGAAAAAAGTGACCTACGACCATTTTTCATACTTATGACTGCCGCAGCATCCTTGCGGTCACGAGATCAAAATTCAGAAGCTTGGCAACTGGCTCGTATTTATGACGGTCGCAGCGTCCTGGGGTCATGTGATATCCTTTGGTGACCTTCTGACAAGCAACGTCATGTGGGGAAGCCAGATTCATTTCACGGCAGTTTGACTAAGTTAACAGCTGCAGTGATTCACTTAACAACGGTGGCAAGAAAGGTCATACAATGGGGCCAAGTCACTTAACAAATCTTAAGGAATTACCTGTATATGGATTCAGAAACGGAAATGTTGGGCTCAGTTGTGGCCGTAAGTCGAGGACTACCTGTAGTAGTACTTGCATGGCGCTCCCATACAACACCTCTCCTGCGTGAGCTGCACTGGCTCCCAGCGGTCTTCCGGGTGCGCTTCAAGGTGTTGGTTATCACCTTTAAAGCGCTCCATGGCATAGGGCCTAGCTATCTGTGAGACCGCCTGCTGCTACCGACGACCTCCCATCGACCCGTGCGCTCCCACAGAGAGGGCCTCCTCGGGGTGCCATCAGCCAAACAATATAGGCTGGTGACCCCCAGGGGGAGGGCCTTCTCTGTGGGGGCACCTACCCTCTGGAATCAGCTGCCCCCAGAGATAAGGAGAATCCAAGACCTCGGTGCCTTCCGCCATGCCCTTAAAACCTTCTTTTTCCAGCAAGCCGGGCTGGTTTAACACTTTAAAATGTTTTTAACTGGTTTGTCATTGTTTTTTAATTATGGGGCCAAATTTATATATATCTTTTTAATAGTATTTTAATGTTTGTACTTTATGTTTTTATTTGGCTGTACACCGCCCTGAGTCCTCAGGGAGAAGGGCGGTATATAAATTTGATATAAAATAAAAAATAAAATAAATAAATAAACCCCATATATCAAATAAAAGCTAAGAATGTTGTAATGTTCTTTTAGGAATGGTTCTCAGTTATGCCTTTGCAATGCTGAGGATTTGTTTTGCTTTTCAGCTTAACTATGCAAATGAGACTGATGGATGGGCTCTTTTAGCAGATCCAGTTTCCAGGTACTTCACTTCTGTTCCTACCTCCACTGTCGCTTTATTAGCACCTCGCAGAATCCAAGGCACCCTGCCAATTATTTTTTTCACCCTGATCCTCAGCAAACTCTGAAGAGGCAGGATGGAGTGTTTATGTACCACGTTCGGCTTCTTACCTGCCTTTTTTCCATCAAGCTCAGAGCATCGTCAAGTGACTACGGCACATCATATGAAGGAGACTTCACTTTCGTTGTAGCTTGTGTGGAAGAAGCCTCATTTTGAGCCTAATTGTGAGCTTTCTTTCTTTCTTTCTCCTTCTTTCTTTCTCTTTCCCTCCCCCTCCTTCTGTACCTTCTTCTCCTCCTCCTCCTATCTTCTCCATCTCCTCCTCCTCCTTTTCTCTTCTCCCTCCCCTATCTTCTCCATCTTCTTTCTTCCTCCTCCTATCTCCTCCATCTTCTTATCCTTTTCTCCTCCTCCTCCTTTTCTCTTCTCCCTCCCTATCTTCTCCATCTTCTTATCTTCCTCCTCCTATCTCCTCCATCTTCTTATCCTTTTCTCCTTCCTCCTTTTCTCTTCTCCCTCCCTATCTTCTCCATCTTCTTATCTTCCTCCTCCTATCTCTCCATCTTCTTATTTTTTTTTCTCCTCCTCCTCTTTTCTCTTCTCCCTCCCCTATCTTCTCCATCTTCTTATCTTCCTCCTCCTATCTCCTCCATCTTCTTATCCTTTTCTCCTCCTCCTCCTTTTCTCTTCTCCCTCCCCTATCTTCTCCATCTTCTTATCTTCCTCCTCCTATCTCCTCCATCTTCTTATCCTTTTCTCCTCCTCCTCCTTTTCTCTTCTCTCCCCTATCTTTCCATCTTCTTATCTTCCTCCTCCTATCTCCTCCATCTTCTTATCCTTTTCTCCTCCTCCTCCTTTTCTCTTCTCCCTCCCCTATCTTCTCCATCTTCTTATCTTCCTCCTCCTATCTCCTCCATCTTCTTATCCTTTTCTCCTCCTCCTCCTTTTCTCTTCTCCCTCCCCTATCTTCTCCATCTTCTTATCTTCCTCCTCCTATCTCCTCCATCTTCTTATCCTTTTCTCCTCCTCCTCCTTTTCTCTTTCTCCCTCCCCTATCTTCTCCATCTTCTTATCTTCCTCCTCCTATCTTCTCCATCTTCTTATCTTCTCTTTCTCCTCCTCCTCCTCCCTCCCTGCCTGAAAACTGATTTGCAATTGTTCCTTGCCTTTAATGACTTTTGTTGCATTCCGTGATCAAAATCCAAGTGTTGGCAATTGCCATGTATTTATTATGACCGTTGCATCATCCCAAATCACGTGAATGCCATTTGTGACCTTCCCAGCTGGCTTTTGACAAGCAAAGTGAATTAATTTATCGACTGCATGATTCACTTAACGATTTCAGTGATTTGCTTAACAACCATGGAAAAGAAAAATGGTCAGAGAATGAGTGTTATTCTTTAACAACACCTTGCTTAGCAATGAAAATTCTGGTCATAAGTTAAGGACTATTTGCACGAAGCATTCTTGTCTCGATTTGAATTCATTGTATATTTTTTCTATTCCACCTTTCTCCCAGAATCTTGAAGTAACCACGAAGCCCTCTGAGACCACAAGAGAGTTTCCCTCCTCCTAAATTAGTAATTTCGGAAATGGCCTAGGAAGGTCATTATCCTGATGCAAAGCTCATTTTTGCTGAACTGTTTCTTCATCAACAGTGAAAATCTCTTGCTTGCAGAAAAACAGGGAGTGGGCTGAATCATTTTTATACTTACTGCTCATTTTCATAATAAAGCTTGCAGACAGCCCAGACAATGATAATGGGGCAAGGAATACCTACAAGAAAAAGGAAAAAAATATAAAAAAACCAGAATGGAAGTTCTAAGAGTCTTCTTCAAAGCTCGGAAGGAAAGGAGTAAGAATTGTCACAAATTCACCACTATAATGGAACCTTTTCAGAAGTCTGAAGGAGGTACATCAAAGATTTGTTTTCCTAAAAAATACTAGAATAGTGTAGGTTTTATGGACCCTTTCAGATATTTGCTTCAATCTATCCACCCATTTATAAAAATTTTGCTGTAATCTGCCTATCCATCCATCCACTCATGAAAATAATCCATTTTCCTTGCTTCCTCCCTCCCACCTTCTCCCTTCCTTCCTTCCCTTCCTTCCTTCCTGTAAGGAAATATCCCTGAAACAAAGACCTAACAAGGGCATAATTTGTCTAATATATAACACCTTCCTTCCTTCCCTCCCTCCCTTTCCTTCCAATTTTCTTCCCTCCCCTTCATTTTTTCCTTCCTTCCCTCCTCCCTCCCTTTCTTTCCATTTTCCTTCCTTCCTTCCTCCTTCGTTCCCTCTTTCCTTCCATTTTCCTTCCTTCCTTCTTCCCTCCCCTTCCTTCTTTCTTTCCTTCCTTCCCTCCTCCCTCCCTTTCCTTCCATTTCCCTTCCTTCTCCCTCCCTCCCTCCCCTTCCTTCTTTCTTTCTTTCCTTCCTTCCCTCCTCCCTCCCTTTCTTTCCCTTTTCCTTCTTTCCTTCCTTCTCCCTCCTTCTTTCTTTCCTTCCTTCCCTCCTCCCTCGATATTCCTTCCATTTTCCTTCCTTCCTTCCTTCCTTCCTTCCTTCCTTCCTTCCTTCCTTCCTTCCTTCCTTCCAGGAAATATCTCCGAAACAAAGACCTAACAAGGACATAATTTGTCTAATATATAACACCTTCCTTCCTTCCCTCCCTCCCCCTCCCTTTCCTTCCAATTTTCTTCCCTCCCCTTCATTCTTTCCTTCCTTCCCTCCTCCTTCCCTTTCCTTCCATTTTTCTTCCTCCCTCCCTCACCTTCTTTCTTTCTTTCCTTCCCTCCTCCCTCTCTTTCTTTCCATTTTCTTTCCTTCCTTCCTTCCTTTCTTCCTTCCTCCTTCCCTCCCTCCCTTTCCTTCCCTTTTCCTTCCTTCTCCCTCCCCTTCCTTCTTTCTTTCTTTCCTTCCCTCTTCCCTCGATATTCCTTCCATTTTCCTTCCTTCCTTCCTTCCTTCCTTCCTTCCTTCCTTCCTTCCTTCCTTCCTTCCTTCCTTCCAGGAAATATCTCCGAAACAAAGACCTAACAACAGCATAGTTTGTCTAATATATAACACCTTCCCTCCTTCCCTCCCCGCTTCTCTCCCTCCCTCAATTGATATTGCTAGACCACAACAATTTTTGAAATGCACCCTCTGACCTCAGTAAAGATAGAAGCTCAGATGCATAATCAGCCCCCCCCCTCTCTCCCTGCCTTGTTGCTACCCTGATTCATCAAACAGGATTTCCTGCTTGAGCTTGAGTAAAAGACCTCCAAGACCCCTCCCAGGTCTGTTGTTCGTTAATTCTGAAAGGTCTGGCTAACAATGAAACTCCCAAGTGCAACATGGGAAGCAGGTTATGCTTTTAGATGGCTTACACCAGCCGATGAAGAGAAAAATCCATTTCTTCAGCTTGTCTGTCGAGTACGTCATCACAATGGCCGTGTGGAGGTAGCAGCCTTCCACAAACATCCAGAAGAAATTGGTCACCACGAAGTAGTTGAAGATGGTTGTGATGCACCGACACCAAAGCTGTTGGAAAATAGGCACATATTTTAGTCCGTTTGTACCATACGCCGTCTATGTTTGTACAGGAAATCCTCGACTTACGACCACAACTGGGCCCAAATTTTCTGTTGCTAAGTGCGTCTTGCCCCACTTTAAGACCTTTCTTGGCACAGTTGTTAAGTGAATCACTGCAGTTGTCAGATTAATCACATGGTTGTTAAGTGAACTTGGCTTCCCCGTTGACTTTGGTTGTCAGAAGATTGCAAAAGGGGATCACATGACCCGGGACATTGCAACGGTCATAAGTACATGCCAGTTGCTGAGCGTCTGAATTTTGATCACGTGACCATGGGGATACTATAATGGTCGTAGGTGTGAAAAGCAGTCCTAAGTTACTTTTTTCAGTGTTTGAAGTGTCACTAAACGAACTTGCAAGTTGAGGACTACTTGCACTCAATGGTCTGCAGTTTTATTTTGCATTTTGATTTTGACTGATTTACAAAATGCAACATAACGCAGCTACAAGTATTCCTTGTTTTATGACCACAATTTGACCAGAATTTTCACTGGTAAGCAAGGTGATTGTGAAGTGAGTTTCACCCAATTTCACAACGTTTCCTGCCAAAGTTGCCAAGCAAATGACTGCCATTGTTAAGTGACTCATGCGGTCATTAAGCGAACCCAGCTTCCCTCAATGACTGCCAGAATGACAGCCACATGACAATCACAGGCAACCATCATAAACACATGCAGGTTGCTAAGCAACCAAATTTTGATGGGGAGGCTCCAGTGGTTGCAAGTGCGAGGAACGGTCATAAGTCACTTTTTTCAGTGCTGTTGTAACTTTGTGACTAAATGAATGGTTTTAAGTCAAGGATGACCCGTACTTGAATTTCTGCCATATCTCTTGAGGAAGAAGTACCTCATTGCTCTCGTGAATATTGTGGTCAATTGTTTGTAGCACGAACCACATCATATTCCTCACGATAAACGTCGTGATCAAGTTCCAGTGGATAATGTTGCGGAGGCATCGGATACTCCTAAAATGGCAAATATATATACATATATATATATATATATAGATCAGTTCTATTCATCTGAGTACGCTCTGCGGAATCTTGAAGCATTCAGTCAAGAAAATGGCCGTCACAGTGAGAAGGCCCTGCTCTATACCAACTCCAGCAAAGTTACCTTTCCTTCACTCCAGAGGGCATGGATTGTGCGCTTCGGTCCCATTCTTTATTCTGAAGTAGATAAAATATTTTGACATCTGAACAGAATAATAGAGTTGTAAGGGACCTTGGGGGTATTCCAGTCTAACCTTCTGCTCAAGCAGAAAACCCAAACTATCTCAGACAAATGGTTATCCAACATCTTCTTAAAAACTTCCAGTGTTAGAGCATTCACAACTTCTGGAGGCCAGTTGTTCCACTGATTATTTGTTCTAACTGTCAGGAAATTTCTCCTTAGTTCTAAAATGCTTCTCTCCTTGATTAGTTTCCACCCTTTGTTTCTTGTCCTGCCTTCAGGTGCTTTGGAGAAGAGCTTGATTCCCTCTTCATTGTGGCAGCCCCAGAGATATTGGAAGTCTGCTATCATGTCTCCCTTAGTCCTTCTTTTCATTAAACTAGTCATGCTCAATTCCTGCAACCGTTCTTCATATGGTCCCCTAATCATCTTTGTTGCTCTTCTCTGTACTCTTTCTAGAACAGGGGTGTCAAACTCACGGCCTGCGAGCACAGGGTGCTTAAATCTGGCCTGCAGGGCCACCCTGGAAACAGCGAAGGACCAGCCCGCAGTGCCTCTGCCAGCCAAAACGGAGCTCAGGGAGGGCCTCACAGGGCCCCCCGTGCTCCGTTTTCGGCTGTGATGGCCTCCTGCAATCCTGTCAGCAAAAATGGAGCTTGGGAGGGCTGCACGCGGCCCTCCCAAGCTCCGTTTTCACTGGCAGAGCGCTCGGGCCACCAGATGTGCTCTCGACACAAGTGATGTCGAGGTGGCCATGCCTTCCCCAGCAGTAGTGGGTTTCAAATTCCGGTGCTACTGGTTCACGATTGGTAGTGTGTGGGCGCTTGTGCTCGCTTTGCGAATGCGTGGGGCTTCTGCGCATGCGCAGAACATTTTTGATAATGTCTTAGCTGGTGGGCGAAACCTCCTGCCGCTGCCGCTACCTCCTGCCGCCGCCGCTACCGATTCTCCCGAACCGGGGTGAACCGGTAGCAACCCACCACTGTTCCCCAGCCCCCACAAAGTCAAACACAACCCCAATGCGGCCCTCAAAGAAATTGAGTTTGACACCCCTGTCCTAGAGTCTCAACATCTTTTTTATCTTTTTTTTTTTTGGGGGGTTCAATCTTCTTTTTAACAAAGGAGGGGAACGTTCCTTCTATCCAGAAAGCTGGATATTTGGAAATGCTCCAGCAATGACGTATTTTTCGAAATATAAGACGCACCGGAGTATAAGACGCACCTACCTTTTTTGGTTGTTGTTTTTTTTAAAGTTTTTTTAAATTTTTTAGACAAACACACATATAAACATACAATGTATTTTCTTTGAACAGAGTGTTTGGCTGGTTCACAAATTTAAACAGTGTTTAGTCATTTCAATTAAATTTACAATTTCTATATTTCCGTTTTGCCATATTTATTCCTTATCTATTTTTTTTAAAAAGACCAATATTACCCTTCATTCTCATCTCTAATCTTAATCAAATTCAATTTTTCCCTTCCCTTCTATATTATACCCCTTCCCATTGTCATCTATTTTTATATCCATCCTCACATTGGTTAATTATTTAATATTACAATTGTTTAATACAAATTCAACATTTTTATATAAATCAATTAGTTATAACTATGTTTTTTTATATTAATCAATATGAACATGAATATTCCAATTATTTCCATGCAATCCAATTTCTTACAAATCAATTAATTATATTTACCAATAATAATAAATCAAATAATTTTCCCCATATATTCCTCCAAACCACAACTTAACCATTTCAACTTTCAACACAATATACAATTAATTGTATTAATTCTATCTCAATTATTACAATTCCCTAGTTAAATAGAGCTTTTTTTCTTTTGTGTTTTAAAATCTTGAACTCTCCTCTTTTTCCCTAAATTTCCCATTGTTTGCACATACCTTTTTTGGTGAGAAAAAAGAAAAAGAAATCTCTCTCTGCCTCATTTTGTCACGTTGCAGCAAAGAACCTGCTTTACTTTCAGTTTCGTCTTTTTCAGCATAGCTAGGAAAAAAAATCTGCTCCAGCACTCTGCAGCAAGCAGGAGAGCCCTGCGCAAAACAGCTGAGAGCAAATCAGCTGAGAGTCGGGAGGCCATCTAATCAACTTGTGCTAATTAACCTATGCTGAAACTGAAAGGGGCTGTTTTTTCTTGCTGTTTGCTTGCAAGGAGGTAACTGCTGCAGGGTACAGGCCAAAGGGTGGGGGCCAGTGGGTGGGCAGGGCTACATTCAGTGTATAAGACACACCTAAATTTTCACCCCCTTTTGGGGGGTAAAAAGGTGCATCTTATATTCCGAAAAATACAGTATTTTAGAACAAAAATTTATGTTGCAATAGAAATAAAATGGCAAATGCTTAGCTTGTGTGTATCACAGCGAGCGGCATATTATGACTGATATGATCATGGGGACTCCAAAATTGTATTCTAATGATGTTTTCAACATTTCTCCGGCAATACAAACCATAGATAAATTGTTCTGAATACTGCTGGTGGCTTGGGAAGCACATTTTAAAGCAGGTTTATAAATGCAATGGCACTCTTAAGATTCAAAGCCAGCTGAAGTGAAATCAGCTATCTTTATTGCTCTTGGCTGAGAATAAATGATACATGGACAATCTAAAAGGATGAGAGAGAGACAAATAAGCGCTAATCTTAGTGAAAAATAGTAAAGAAGAATATCGGTAAGTGAAACATACAAAATCAAAAGGGATGAGGAGATAGAAAAAAATTAAAATAAACTCTACCCATTAATGCATTTTGGAAACAGTACAGAGAAGAGAAACTAGGATGATTAAAGGCCTGGAGACTAAAACATATGAAGAACAGTTATAAGAATTGGGTATGGCACCAGAGGGCAGAACAAGAAACAAAGGATGGAAACTAATCAAAGAGAGAAACAACCTGGAATTAAGGAGAAACTTCCTAACAGTGAGAACAACTAACCGGTGGAACAGCTTGCTTTCAGAAGTTGTGGATGCTCCATCACTGAAGATTTTTAAGAAGAAACTGGACCTATCTGAAACGGTATAGGTTCTCCTGCTTGAGCAATTCCAAATCTATTCTGATTGATTTAAATTAAGGTTCCCAGGATAAACTCCTTCAATCTATTGCATTTTAGATTTCTGCAATTTCTGCATTTTGTAACCTACTGGCTTATATTGAATGATTCTCAGCCTTTAGCAACTTTAAGTTGTGTGGACTTTAATTACGAGAATTCCCCAGTCAGTTTGATATTAAAAGAAATTGCTTGGAGCGGAATGAAAAAAAAAGGATCATATTACAGAACACCAGAGAAGGCTTGTAATTATCCTAACACGGAGGAAAAAGGCTCAATGGAATGAGTTCACGCATTCAACCACTCAAATCAAAATACACGAAGTCCTTGACTTTCAACAGTTCGTTTAGTGACCGTTCAAAAGTGTTTATGGCCATTTTTCACACTTAACGACGATTGCAACATCATTATGGTCACATGATCAAAATGTGGATGCCAGGCAACTGATTCATATTTATGACGGTTGCCGTGTCCCAGGGTCATGTGATCAACTTTTATGACCTTCTGACAAGCAAAGTCAATGGGGAAGCCAGATTCACTTAACAACTTGTCGCTAACTGAACAACTGCATTGACTCGCTGAAGAACTGTGGCAAAATAAGTCATAAAATGAGGCAAAACTCAATACTGCATTGCTTAGCAACAGAAACCTGGCGGCTCAAATGTGGTCGTAAGTTGAGGTCTACCTGTACGGTTTGTACCAATTTAATAAGTAAATAAAAATAAAATAAATACTGAAGAGGAATTTTGGAAGGAAAAATCTAAGCTAGAAATTTTTCAGAAAACCCCTACGGGAGATGTGAAACATAAAAATAGCATCCAGCATTTGCTAATTAATGCGTCTAAGTTCGGGCAAATTTTATGCATTCTCTTTTTTTGGCAGTGAAGAATTAGGTAACTGAGTTTCACATATGTTCCACAATCTGGCAAGTTCTTAATTTTGAGATTCAACCCCCAGAATTCCCTAGAAGTGGGGATCACACTGGCTGGGGGATTCTGGGAGGTGAAATCTCAACAGAAAGGTATGGAATGAGAAAAGCTGGTACAGGGAGTCCTTGACTTACAAATGTTCATTTAGTGACTGTCCGAAGTTACAACAGCCCTGAAAAAAATGACTCATGATTGTTTTTCACACTGATGACTATTGTACTCCCCCATGTCACGTGATCAAAATTCAGACACTCGTTAACTGGTTCATATTTATGACAGTCGCAGTGTCCTTGAGATATATGATCACTTTTTGCGACCTTCTGACCAGCAAAGTTAATGGGGAAGTCTGATTCACTTAACAACCGTGTTACTAAGAATGGTGGCAAGAAAAGGTCGTAAAATGGGGCAAAACTTACTCAACAAATGTCCCGCTTAGCAATAGAATCTTTGGGCACAATTGTAGTCGTAAGTCGAGGACTACATTTCAGGAGTTTGGGTACTGGAAATCAATCCCACGAGAAATTATTCTTATAATACAGAACAGATATTGTCTATGCTATTATTAAAAGTGGGAGTATAATGAGAAAAAAAAACCCATCCGAGCTTTAGATCTCCCTGTTTCTCCAAAGAAACATGCAATTCCTTGTAATTTCAGCACCGTAATAATAACAAAGAAAAGATAACATTACATTTGATGTAGCTTTATAGCCAAAAAGCAGCTTACTCTGAGATTTGACACATATGTGCACAACCAAAATAGGTATATGTCCCTTAAAGGAAAAAAAGCTGATGTAATGATACA